GGTGATGCTTAAGGTCAGCTTCATATTCTTGATTCTTGACTGAATATATTTTTTAAAAGTTCATTTTTAAAAAATTGATATTTAAATTTATGGTTGAGTGTCTAAAATGTGGAGGAACGTGGGACATAAAGGAGATTTCATGATTTCATCTATTTTAGATTATCTAATAACTAATATCAAAGAGTGTTTACTGTGTGCCGACCATTGAGCTTTAAATCATTTTGCAAAGATGGTTTCATTAAATCCAACAATCCTAGAGGTAGGTGCTAATATCGTTCTTTTTAATATGTATATGAAGAAATTGAGACTTAAATAATGTCCAAGATAACACGGAAGATGATAGAGCCAGGATTTTAATCTACGTACTCTTACCTTGTGGTCCATTCTTTTTCCTATATCATTAAGGTAGTGGAAAATGCCAAATCAGTAATGGTGAATTTAGTCAAAAATACATACTCCACAATCTCTTTAAGGAATGAATATTCTGTCTTCCAAGTCACCTGTCCTAGGTAGGCCACTCAGTTCAGGGAACCCAGTGGTCTGAAAGAGATCTCTTATCTTTGAGGAAAAATATACTCATACTTCATAAGATTTATGCCAAATAATTATGATAGTACAGTAGGGCTGGGGGAGGAAAGTTGTGCTTAAGATACCAGACTTGGAAATTATTTTAGAAATAATTATTGATTTTATGAAAAATTAAAAAGCTTTGGACTATGCCTTGTGCATGTAAATTACTTTTAAACTACTTAGTAGTAAATTGATAATTTTCACTCTACCCACAAGAGATTAAGCCAGAATTTTTTCTACTTTTTAGAAGTGTATGTATTAAATGTCAGTTGTAGTAAGGAAAAGACTGTTCTGTTCCTAGATTATTATAATTCTGTATGCTGATTCTGAATGTTAACTTGGATGTTCTCAACTCAGATTGGCTGCCAGGAGACAAAAAGTTATTTTTAGTGAAATTTAGCTCTTTCAAAGGCTTGTTCCTTACTCAGGCAATTATGTAAATTACTTTGGAACATTTCTACAGTATTCATGAGAGCTTTAATCATAAACTGAGGAGAGAGACAATGTTAGCATTTGGGGGGTACTTTTCATTAGACTTTAAAGACCCAATGGGAAAAAGTAAAAGTCAGCTATAACGAAAAGCTTTATAAAATTCTAATCCTAGCTGCAGGATTATTCTTTGAGTTATTTCAAGAAGCATTCAAATAATATGTAACCATATGGAAAACATCTTCATAGGTTTGTCAAGCACAAGAATCAGTATATTAACTGGCAACCAAACTTTACATTTGCAATCACCATTAAAGATTGGTTTAATCATCTTTTTCAATTGTAGCATTTAGATTTTTATTATTAAAAATATTTTTATAAGTTTTCACTTATTTTTGAGTTGTAATTGTCATTTACTAATTAAAATTCCATTTAAGAAAATCTTATTTTTTGCGTTTGTGCAGGTGTGATCATGCACTTGTGTCTGCCATAATAAAATGGCTTGGTGATAAAAAAAAAAAAACCAAGATGTTCTATGAAAGATCTAAAATCATTTTACTATAATTAAATGAAAACGAGGACAGTGTGTATGATATGCTACCATGCTACCCATGTGTCAGAGTCTGTGTGTGCATGAGTCCTGGTAAGGATACACAGGATCTGATGATTATCTTCTGGAGGGCAATGGCTGAGGCCTGAGTAGGAAGGAGACCTACTTTTTACCATGTATCCTTATTTATTTAAAATATTTTTTTACCATGCACATGAACTATCTATTCAAAAAGGTTTTTAATTGTCGTGAGCATCATTCCACATTATTAAATAGTAAAACAACTTTTATTACAATTGCAGTTTTTAAAATGTTTTAATTTACTGGGGAGTTTGTTAATGAATTAGGTAATTCTAACTTTATCAAACTGGGCATTCTTGATCTTTAGATTCAGAGAAGAAAAGGTGACAAACATGAAAACTAAAACCAGTATTTTTCGGTTTCTTAGGCAATTCGCATTTTGGTCCAGGAGCGCCTGACACAGGATGCAGTTGCTAAAGCAAATCAAACAAAAGAGGTATATATTTTTTAATATAAGTTGTAAATTAATTATTAATGAAAGTTTCTTCTGCTGTTGTCATGAGTTTGAACTTTGCGTGTATCTGTATAAGGTATCTATTCTAGGTTAGAACTGCCCAGAGAAAGGATAACTTACTTCAAGGGGATTGAATTTGGTTCCTAATCACACTGTATCTAGTCATTTCTGAGTGAAAAATGAATTCATGTTTATCTCCCTTCATACCTTAGAGAAGCTACCAATAGCACATCCATAGTCTACCAATACAAACCACTGCATGTGACTAGTTGAAGTTTATTTAGAAGAATTTGCCCTTGTGAAAATTATTGGGTTATTTTGACTAATTGCTGGAAAACAGGACACACCTTCTTTAATTTTTTTTTTCCTTTGACCTAAATTCCATCATCACTCTTTTGTTTCTTCAGAGAAATCTACTCTCATTTTATCTTTTCTATTTCATAGCATAAAACATAAGTAACTTGCTTAAGGTCACCTAGTTGACAAGTGGTTGAGCTCAGGCAATCTGATTCAAGAGCCTGTGCCATTTTGTGGTGCTCTATGACATGAGCTGGTTGATCGGCCCATGTGAAGCCAGGGGTAGACTCTTTCAGCTTACAGGTGATTGATGCTGCCATCTTTCAGTCCTGCTTTGTAGGCTGAGAAAACTACACCATAACTATCTTTCCCTTAATAATTCTGGTATATTTTTGGATGAAAGGTACCAGAAATCCAAAGTCTCATTGACTTTGGGGCAGTAGAAGAGTCCTCAGGGATTAGCAGCAGCAGCTGCAGGTATCTAATAATGCACAACATCTACTCCTGCTGTGTAGATGTTGCAGTGAATGCTTTTGGCACAGTCACCATCCTGTACTCTGGTCCTCTTTTGCTTCCTTCAGTTCCCCAATGTCATTTGTCCTCTGACCCCATCTTTAGCAAGGCTCAGCAGTGTTAAAAGGTTATTAATGCCAGGGAAGTATAGTCCCCTCTGAAAGACACTCAGTTTCTTTTAAAGTTTCTTATTGGCTTATTAATTATGTATGAATCAGGCCACTGGAAATTGAAATAAAGATCAGCTTATTTCTCCCACACTATAGAACAGACAGTAAATTGTTCTGGCATAATAAAATCATTCAGTCAGTAAAACTATGCCTTTGCCTTTGGTTTGGAAGGCAGCACAAATAAGGGAATAGCCAAATCTCTTTGCTCTTGTATATAAAGTAAAACTTAGTTTTATTTTCAGTGCTCCAAATCTTAGTTTTAGAGTCATCCCCAAAAGATACCATGCTATAATACAGTAGAGAAATTGTTAAAGTTGAGTGTTCTTATTTGTAACTGTTAAAACTAGCATTTGGGCCTTTGGGCCTGTGGTCATCAGCGGTAGCTGGTCCTTGGTGGTCTGTTGGCAGACAAAGGGGAAAATAGAGACTCTGTACCAGACTGACATAGAAAGCCACCCAGTACAGTAATAGTTTTTAGTTTTGCTCACTGAATTTTCATACCCATTTGTTTCTTCACTTATATGTGTTTATTAGCTATTTTGAAGTAGATGGAGCCTAAGTAGATTTTCCTTAATAGATTAATCAAAAATTGAGTAGCGACAGCATTTGTAGCATTGAAAGTATAGTGACTTTTTTTTGTACTGGTAATGATTTCATATAATGTAATCAGAAAGTCTAGGCTGCCTGTCCTTGATAGTTATTGTGAACTCCCTAGAGTTCATCATGGTCACCATCTTTGGTATATCTAGATGTAGGTACTGACTGGTAGGCGGAAGTTTAGATTCCATTTATTTTCTTACACTATTTCAAAGTAATGTTAAAATGAACTGTTGAAAGTTAAATTATATGTAATCAGGTAAACATTATGTTCACTGAAAAAAATACGTATATTTTAGATTTGTACAATTTGCAAAGACAGTGTGCTCAAATAAACTTGCTTGAGAAAAGTAAAAGTAGTCTTACTCCATTTGCCCTGTACACTGCTGCTTACTGTAGCTAAATGGGACTTAGCCCTGCTTGACCCTCCTTCCATAGTAGTAGTGACAGCACTGCAGCAAAAAGCTATTATTTTATATGCCTGGTCTTAAAAAATTGAATGGGTGATGGAACTGAATGTAGTGGGAAGCGAAAGGCCATTCTTTCCTAACTGGTTAGAGTAGGAAAAAACATCAAATACAAACTTAAAGTGAAAATTCTCAGTCCCCTTGCCACTGTGGCTAAAAAGGTTAAAATAACAGAATAGATAACTGCTTTTCAGCCTCAGATGAAAAAAGAGTCTGATACTTGTTTATAGTTTTACTTTGTCCATTTTTTTTAAAGGGCTTGCCTGTTGCTTTAGACAAGCATATTCTTGGTTTTGACACAGGAGGTAAGTGCTTTTGTTTTGATTAATGCAAACTATTTTTAGAGATTTGGTGAATATTTGGGGGGAATGAGTAAGTAAACTGTTTTAAATGCAAAGTTATTGATTAATGCAGTGTTTCTTATAAAACAGATGCAGTTCTTAATGAAGCTGCTCAAATTCTGCGATTGCTGCACATAGAAGAGCTCAGAGAGCTACAGACAAAAATTAATGAAGCCATAGTAGCTGTTCAGGCAATTATTGCTGATCCAAAGACAGACCACAGACTGGGGAAAGTTGGAAGATGAACATTTTAGGATGTTAGCCGCTCACCTACTTAGTACAGTTGGGAACCATGTATGCTGTGGCATGTGTTTGGGAATCAAATGTCAATTTTCAAGGAAAGGATCCCAGAAAATTGACTATGTTCTAGAGATTTATCATCATTGCTTTTTCTTTAATAAAGTTCAGGAATGTAGATTTTTTTTGACTGTGTAATATTTATGTATAATTCATCTTTTTCCTTTGTGATTAAGGTACATGCCAACCCCCAACTTTGTTTAAGAAACAATATAGATCCTCAGAAGTCATAGGAAAACTTAAAATATTTTATTGGAGTAATCTAGAAAATTTGAGAACCGATACATCTTTGGTATTTATAAATGTAATTTCTGTGGGTAGTTATATAAAGGGACTTAAAGGATCAGAAAATACAAATTGGAACAATCTAGCACCTTTTAATATAAATAGAAATGCACTGACGCAGAGGTAAAAAAAAAAAAAAATCTTAGAACTTTTGTCGGGAAACTATAAATAAATTCATTCTTTCCCATCAGTTCTGCATAGCTTCTAACTATGTCAAGGTTTATGATCTTTAGGATTGTATTTTTTATACTGGTCACCTGTGCTTTAATTTCTTGGCCAAAAAGAACCCATAGCAAACATCAGATTTAAGGTCTTTACATATTTGGTTCTTAGTTGAATGAATTTGACCTTTTAAATATGGTATAAATGTTTATAAAAAGTTGCTTTAATAAGCAGCAATTAAACTTCTATTACCTTTTTTTTAAACTTGGCAATAACTTGATTTTAAAAATACAGTAGTAAAGATTGAGGTATAAACTTTTCACAAAACATACTTAGTCTTTTTGCACTGAAATTGTTCATTTTGTATGTCCAGATACTTCTTGTGTGGCCAATTCCTTTTTCACTTCACCTTTGTTTGCAGTCAATGTTCTTTAGGGTCCAGATTTTGATTGTAAACTCCCAAGTCCTTTACGATGTCATACTTACTTTCTGCCTGTGAGGGGAGGGAACAGTGTGTGAATATTTTATGAGTTACAACAACAAGTCTTTTCAAGGAGAAATAGCTTAATAGGCTGACTTTTTTTGTGTGTAACACACACACAAAAAGCTAGGTAGACTGAAGGTAGTAAAAATTGGTCGCCTCCATGTTTTTTGGCCATTAATTTTTCCAGCTCAAAGTGACTCTCACTGGTGATGATGTCAGTGACTGCGGCCAGTATCTGGGCCAAGGGCAGTCAGTTACCAGATATATCCTTCTCTCCCTTGCTGATCCAAAGGAGCAGCCTGAGCACGTTCATTTACCTGTTGGGCAGTAGGGGTAGACCGCAGTTATCCCGTAGAGATGAGATCGTTGCTCTGGAAGATACTCATCAGTAAACTGGCCACTGTCTCTACTTACTGATATAACACCATCCCTGGTAACAGAAATGAATTCATGGGATTTAAGGTTGGATTGAAAAAGTTAAAATAGAAGAAAATCTCTGCCAGCCCTCTAGAATACATTTTTTAAATTCAAAGTGAGTTTTGACTCATTTAGATTCAGAAGATTTGTCTATATCAGTAGTCCTCAGACCAGCATCATCTGAGAACTTGGTAGAAATGAAAATTCTGGGATGGGACTCAGCAATATGTTTTAACAAACCCTCAGGATGATTCTGATGCTGTGCTGAAGTTTGAGAACCACTGGTCCAAATCAGCGGTTCTCAACCCTAGCTGCATGTTGTAATCGCTTGAAGATCTATTAAACTACTGATGCCTGGGCCTCTTGCCAGACCAATTAAATCAGAATAATGAAATAGGGTAAAAGTGCTTAGATATTATATATTTTTAACATTCCCCAGATAACTGGTCTGAATTATAGTATTTTTTATTTTTCCAGGTGGACAACTAATAAGTCCACAACGTTATTTTAAAAATCAGTTTAAATCATATAACTAATATTCCTCATGGTGCCACTTAAGGTAGTGTTTTATTCTCTGAAGATCAGATTTAGATTAACATGCTTCATTTTGGGGTAATTTATTTATTACCTAATAGCTCTCCCACTTTTAAGCTACATAGGAGTAATACCATTAAATTTCTGAGTGATATAAAAGTATGATTTTAAAAGCAATAACATTTGAATGACATTATCTGCTAATGAAGAGATAATGAAAACTTCAGTAGAGAGAGCTTAATTACTAAAGTCATTCACTGACATTTGGTAAAACAAGTGGTGTGTCCTCTACAGTAGTTTGCCTTTTCAGGCTTATCTAGATTGAAGCTTACCTCCTCCAGTCTGTGTGGTAGAAGTGATCTGCATAGCTAACAATGCTGAAGGGGTAGTTGAGGTTGTTTTGAATGACATGCCGTCCAGTTCCATCAGGTAGTGCACACTCCAGTTTTTTCGTTCCTTTTAAAGCATCAAAGAGGGAAAAAATGAGATGATTTCATACCATGGGGGTAGGGGAACTCCTTGCCAAAAATAGTGGCAGGTAGATTCCTTCCTTAAGGAAGGAAAGGTAGAATAGGAAGTAGATATTTTTATTCCCATTGCAGTGACACAAATTCGAAACTAAAATTTCCTGTTCTGTTATCAGTCTTTAGCTCATCTAACAGCATTTTAGTTTTGAATAGAGGTTAAACTCGTACTTTTTTTGGAAAAAAAGATTGCATTTTAAAGAAAGTTTCTCCCAAAGTAGGGCATTAGAGATGAGCTTTTTTATAATTGATAAAATTTCAAGTGTTAGCTCATAAATTATAGATATAACATCTGGATAGATACTTGCCCTTTGTAAGCAATGTATAATAGTCAAGGCTACCTTTACATAAAATCCTTAAATTTTTTTAAAAGACTATTAGTTTCTAAGTAGTAATAAAAAACTAAAGTGGTAACATGGCTCATATTTTTCAATGTAAAGGAAGCCAATACTGAAAATGTTGCCGCAGCTAAAGAAGTATTTCCAAGTTTCACGTTTCTCATGGAACCCTGCTTTTTAAAAACATAACTGTTGTTTTGGACACCTGGGTTATAATAGTGACCCATGCGCATTATAGTTTCTTTTATTAGATTATAAATTCTTTAAGAATGGCCTTTTCCATATTCTTTAGTATATTAACTAGACATACAGCATCTTTTCGGTCATGCTAATGAAGTCGCACAACAGTGTTAACCTGGGTATTGGGAACCAGAGCTTATTACTGATGCAACCTATCCTGCCACATCACTTTTCAAAGAATGCCCTCAGCATAATAGCATACTGACTGTTAAAGTAACAGATATTTATAAATGTATTACAATACTGGCAAAAAAGAAGAACCAGTAACCTCTTCTTCATTTACCTAAGTTTGTCAGTTCCAACAGTGGGTAATATTTCTTTTTTAATTAAAAAGCATGCCAAATGCTCATGTAGGGGAAATGGCACACAGTACGAAAATGAGTTGGACGTAGTACTAGCCCTCAAACTTAACTGCCTGATTCACACGCACACCCCCTAAAACCTATCATAAACATCATTACAAAGTGTTCTTCAAAAGTTTACACACTGAACAAAGGAGTAGATTATGTACTGTACCATTATAAGTTTAAGCCAAAAGATCTAAAAGATGGGATTTGGCTTTGTTGTAAAATCTGTTAGAGTGCTGGCACCCGCTGTAATGAAGCATCCTGTGTCTGCATTACATCAGTAGTATTACCTGCATCTGCCCAGCAGAGCAGTTTGGAGAAGGGGTCAAAGGTTAAGCCATTGGGTAGTCCGATGTCTTTATTCACTAGAATTCTTCTGTTTTCTCCATCTAAAGACGACGTTTCAATTTTGGGAGCTTCTCGGTTCCAGTCTGTCCAGTACAAGTTCCTGTGGATACATGAAATGGAATAGAGAGAGATGTACTTTACTCAGTATGTAGAACCCACATTTCAGAACCATCTTTGACACTTTACTCAATCAAAAACACTTTGCTGAAATTTAAAGCTGAAAGTTTTTTTTACTGATTGAAGAAGGGTTTTTTTCTGGAATTTCATTTGGTAGAGTTCCCATTAAATACGGCAAGAGTTTCTCAAGGTATAGAAATCCTCCCTGGTTCTAACAAGTACTGAAACACTGATCAAGTTATATGTTCCGGTTGCTGATCTTAGCAATTATCATGGACAGAGAACATCTACTCTTGACTTTTGCTATAATGAAAGTGAGGCCAGAGAAATGAAACATCAAGTGTGTAAGTTTTACAACCATTTAATGGTTGTAAACTTTACTGTGGTTTTAACACCGATTGCCTAATGTGTTGCCGACGGAGACCCACTTCATTCTAGTTTAAGTTACCTCAGACAGGCCTTGCTCGATCATCTGATCAAAGTAGAACAAAGTGCCTGACACCCAGATCCTCAAATACTGCTAAATTAATGCATTTGAGCTTTTATGCTCTTGTTCTGAACACCCACCCCCACCCCCCCACCCCCCACACACAGCATTTAAATCCAAGGGCTTCTACAGGTAACAAATCAGGATCTACAGGTAACAGAATTAGGGAAGCCCTGCTGACCCTCGGATTGGATCCACAGCAATAGCGCGGGGGTTCACCAGTTCTGTGTGGAAGAGAGCCTTGCGCTCAGAGCCGTCCAACTTGGCCCTCTCTATCTTATCCAGCCCACTGTCCGTCCAGTACATTGTTCTACGAAAGTGGTCAATGGCAAGTCCTTCAGGGCTTATCAGACCTGGAAATAAAACAAAGGCAGAACTAGAGCATTTGCAGGTGTGAAAGGTGAATCTGAAACAAGAGATCTATGTTTGAATAGTCAAAAAAAAAAAAAAAAAGGTCCTGAATTATCTGAGTTAGAGAGCCAATTAATGGAGGAACAGACAGCTTTTTCTGCAACTTCTAGTTTCTCTAGGCCAACCTACCAGCCTGATGGTGCTGGGGCCAGGCAGCATCAACTGTGATCACATCGTGAATTCTTACTGTTAGCCCTCCCATTGAGAGCCCTATTTCTCACTAGAGAGGGCTCACAGTAAGAATCACCTTCTCATCCCTTATGTATGAACATGTTTGTTTATAGAGGCTGTTATTGTATAGCTTAATAAAATGACTTGCATAGAACTTAACCTCCTCGGTTAGATGAAAATAGAAGGGAGACTTTGGCATAAAACTTGAACTTAGTAGAATCAAATGAAATGTGAAGCATATTCCGGGTGAAGCTGCTAACCTGAGTTTATGATTATCTCGGGCTCTGCTCCCAGTTCCAAACTGGCACGGCTAATCGTCCGTCCAGCGACATCTGTCCAGTACACCATCCTCTCTCGACAGTCGTAGTCAATTCCCACAACTATAGAGCCCTTTGTGGACCAAAACACAGAATTGGAAGAATTAGGACGCCTTGCATTTCCTTCAGCTGCCTTACTCATGCATGGCTGCAGTGAACAACCTTGCACTGTAGTCTTGCTGGCAGCTGAGCAGGGTGGTTAGACACGTGGGCTGTGGAGGCCGACATCTTGGCCATTTACTAGTTGTGTGACTTTGGTACTAACCTCCCTATGTCTTGATTTCCTTCTATGTAAAATGAAGATAACAGTACTTATACTATATATGGCTTCTATAAAAATTAATACCAAAAATGCTTGTGAAGTGTCCTAATTAGTAATGAGGATGCAGTAAGCCCTCATTAAACACTATTACTGTTGGCAATAAAAACAAAACTGACTTCATGAAAACATCAGCCAGTGATTAGAGAAAAACTGTTAGTCTTAGCAAAGTAAGTACTCAATATTTTAGTGGGCAAAAAGTGACTCCTTTCAAATGTCATCAGCACATTTTGAATGAGCCTTTCTAAAATTTGCCAACATATAACAACAAAATCTACTCGCCCCTCCCCTGTGGCATGAGACTTTTTCCCTACCTGTAGTGCCATCACCCTTTCCCCTAACTCTGCCTCTCACTGCAAAGCACGTCTTTGGTTGTACTCATGAAAGAAAGTCTACAATTTGATGGGTTAAGGAGTTGGGGAATAGTGGTCACGCAACTTCTGACAGGGGAGGTCTCTCCTCCCTTATTGCTAAATAAATGACAGTCTTTTAAAAAATGCTGAGTCTGTGGTATTTCTTTCCAAAACTCTGCATGGTACTGGCTTTATTCAATTTCCAACCAAGACTCCTGCTTTGCGAAGGCCAGCAGATGTGCAAAGCCAACATTTAGGGGCCATCTGGCTGTCCCTGAGGCCATGCCAGCTCCCTTCTTGCCTAACAAGGCCTCCTGGGGCCGGCCTGACATGCCTCGGAGAGGAATCAGCACGAGAAACACTAATGCAGGATTTTGCTCCTGTGGAAAAGTGGGCAGTTTATACAGGGGCATCTGAAGGTCAAATACAATTTTACTTGAAAATTAAAAAGTCATCTGTCTCAAGCAAGAGTACACATCCATATGGGCTTTCATTAACCCAGGGAATCATGGGTTCCATTAACCTATATAATGCCTTCAAAGTTTCTTGGAGGAAAAAGTCCCAGTTTAAGTAAGTTTCCCCAAGATGTGCTTATAACCCATAGTCCATTCTTTTTCAGTTCCACCACCACCATAACCACCCTGCCCTCATCAGAGGCAAGTTCAGAGAGGCCGTAAAGCTGCCTGACTTGGCTAGAATAGATGGTTAGCCTGAGGTAATGACAAATTTAGTTTCTACCTCTTTTAGGGAAACTTTTACAAAAGAGCGTGCTAGTGTTTGCTGAAAAAAATTAAAAACCACAAACTCAAATCTTAAAAAGGAAGAAAATAAACATCTTTTTATGAACACTGGCTGCTTCTCAAGTTTTTTGGAACCAGATAAAGAGTTCATTAACAGAAGCAAATGTAAACCTGGATGCTATACTCTTCTTTCTCATAAATTGAGCATGTACCTGGAGTGTAGAGTTTAGAAATGGAATCAGACCATTATAAGTATCAATGCTTTTCTAGTGAATTCCCTTCTCTTTTCATTTTAGAGAAGAAATCTCTCTTCCAAAATGGAGTGTCTTGGCAATAGGGAGGCTGCTAGCTCAGGAAGTGGCGAGCATCTCCTAGGAAAAGCCCCAGTCCACTCCTTTCCCAGTATCGCTTCCAAATCATCTCTGAAGAGTCAGAAGATGAGAAGACAGGCCCTTCAGCAGAACCAGAATGGGAGAGGAGGGGGCTGCAACAATGATATAGTCATTGATTTCCACTTGGGATTCTCAACTGACCCTGTAGCTATTCCTGTCATTTTGATTTTCAGGATCTCCGGAGATTTGAGGCATGGAGAGAGCCCTGGGGACTTGGGTTAAGAGTCACTTTTCTCCCTCACCACCATACTGCCTCAATATCCTGACACCTCTGCAATTCCCTTTCCCCATATCTGAAACCCCATAAACCAACTGGAGAAAGCAGCCTTGGTCAGATGTGACGCCCAGCAACAGCTGTGCTTTCTGTGGTGCTGGTGTCAGATCCGTGGAGACAGACTGCCGCCCAGAAACCCTTCAGGACCTCCCTCCACCTCAGCCCTTGCCAGATCTGAAAGCCCCACGCAGCTCCGCCCCCACAGGAGAAATCTACTTTACATGCAGTGACAGCAGGGTCTTGGCAGCGTCCTTCTGAAGCCTGGTACCATTGAGGGGCAAGTGGCCGATTTGCTGGCCCTGGGCATAGAGCAGGAAGGTGCCGACGGAGGGAGGGGTCACATCAGGCCTGGGCATGGGCCGGACTGTGGGTGGAGCAACCGTGGGTATACCTGCCATGGGAAAGAGGAGGTTGTGAGGAGGAAAGGGGAAAGGAAACAAGGCGGGGGTGGGGGTGGGGTTGGGGGTAGAGAAGACAAGTTACTTTCCCACACACCAGAGCGTCCAAAAACATCAAAAGTTCTTTAGACAGATGTGCTCCAGATGTTTCTTAAATTATAATTTCTAGGGTTTTTTTTTTTTTCCCAAGGATCAATTATGTAAATCGCTGCCAATTATTAGGGAGAAAGAGAACAACACATTTCCCTCAGACCAAAGCAGGTTTTTGTTTTTTTATTTTTTATGTGAAAAAAACCAGACCCAGTAATTGTATCAGCTTCTCTGGGGCCCCAGGGTGACATATGTCCCCTTTCACCCTGGGCTGGGGGGTGGGGAGTAACTATATGCTAAACTGAGTTCCAGATGTTCTAATTACAAAAACTGCTAATGACAAAACCAAACAGTAAATCCAAACTGGGATCTTGGGTGGACCAGATTGTAAATCACCACGGAAGAGTAGTGACTTCTTTCATTGGACCTGTTGATCCCTTGTTTGCCCACCTTCACACACAGCTGGCAGCCTCCCTACAGAGAGACCTCAGGTGCAGCTCCAGTGAGTGAGGGAACCCAAGTTCCCTCAGTGCTTACATGCAGGGGTGGTGCCTGGCTGGGAGCGGGTGCCCTGCACCTCTCTGCCATCTTTGTCCACACACCAGCAGAAGTCACTCTTCCCATGGCACTGCAGGGGGGTGAAGTGGCCCAGGTCATCGCACTGGGGCACATACTGGTCATCCCTGGGCGTGCCACCATAGTGCTCCAGCAGGTTTTCCCTCCAGCGCTCACAGACGGTCCGGGGCCTCTGAGTGGGCTCTGAGCAGATGAGACAAAAAAAAGCCTTTGATTATGAGCCAAGGACAGAATACAGCACAAGATCCCCACGCCTGGCCTCCTGGCCTTCCTCCTCCTAGTGTCCATTAACGAGGCCTCAGCCAAGCCTCTGAACGCTGGACCAGAGCAGTAAAGTGTTCTAAGAAGTTCTCCATAGGAATCAGGAGAAGGGGGTCATCTTGATATTCCTGTCTTCCCAGGCTAGAGGATTTGCCATCAAGGCCCCTCCACCCCCCAAATCAGGAAAGAACAAGAGGAGGTAAGAGCTGTGCAGGGCTCACTCAGCCTAGGAAGGGGTTGGGCTCACTCAGCCTAGGAAGGGGTTGAGCTCACTCAGGACAGAAGAGCCCCATGCACACCACTCTGCCTGGGCCCAGGGCCTCTGTTAACAGAACACTCGTGGGGGCTCAGTGGCCTACATGATGCTTAAAGCCAATATTTTTCTTTCCCACTTGCTTCAGATTCCAGGACCTGCATCTTGAGAGAGTTATCTTGAGACTGGCTACTGTGTATCTTAGAAAGTATTACTGAATGCCCTACTTATGTGTCTGGCCCTCAGTGTCTGTTTGGTGGAAAACTATATTGAAAGTGTAACTTACAGTCACTGGTGTATGTGAGCAGAGCAGAGATGGTGGGAAACAGCTTGATAGTATTTGACATTCCAGTTCCTAGACGTCTTTGGCCACCTTGCTCTTGGGGTCATCTCAAAGCTGAACGCTTTTCTGTAGGCTCCAGCTTCCGCCCATGTTGCTGTCTCCTTTCTCCAGCATCCTCCCCCCTTCTCCCTTCCCTCCCAGCTCACCACCATGCTTGAACTCCTGTTAGTGTCTGTTGCAGAGCAGTTTCTCTACCTGTAGTTCACTCCCAGACTGCTTCCATGGGGCTACTGAGTTTCTGTCCCAAACAGTTCTGTCATAGAGGACTCTGCTATAGCTGCTTAAATAACTATATAGCCATCTATGGTAGGGTTACCTAAAGGAACTTAAATAGAAAGTGCTGCTTTGTTATTTCCTGCAACTCAAAGCCTATGGTCTGTAGAATCACACAGCCAAGTACCTACCTGATTACCACCATTTGGAAGTATAACAGAAATCTCAGGAGAACCAACCCCCATCAAAGGTGCTCTGCCCTAGACTTTTCCTAATTTGTAAACTGCGCCTCCATGTTTCCATTGCTCAGGTCCAATGTGTCATCCTTGACACATCTCTTATTCTCCATAGGTAAAGAAATGTCAGCTGTACCTTTAAAATACATCCAGAATATTTTTACTTCTCACCACATCCACCCTTGTCACCCTGGTCAAAGCCCCATCATTGCGTTGGCCAGCATGGTGCAATCTAATGACAGCCATTGACCTGGAGCTTCCCAGACTTAAACTCTGGACCCCAGGGGATGAACAGAGTTTTATTCGTTGTGCCAAGATCACTACAAGAGACTTATTAATAGTTTCCCCACTTCCACTCTTTACTCCAACCCCCTAGTGTAAACTGAACCAACAGTCAGAAAGAGTCCTTTTAAAACCAATTCATTTCATGTCATTCCTTTAGTCGAAACCTCCAATGGCTTCAAAGGACAAAGCTGAAAACATTACAGATGGGCTTCAGCATCTATAGTTCCTTTAGGAAAGCAGCAAGATGGTCAATAAAATCCTCAGCTCAAACTCAACTAAAGACTCATCAGGTTTGGAGGAAGTGGATGCCTTTCAGGTTGTCTCCTTAGCTCATGACCCATGGGAAGCAAAGCTTTTTAAGACCTCATGGAGAAGGAAAGACTGACTTTCTCACCCAGATGTGTCTCAAACCAGAGGGAAATGCCACTCCCTGAACACCCGCCATCCATCACAAGGCAGGATTCCCTGGAGAAATTCCCAACACTACCCCAGGTTCACACTCCAAACTCAGAGTATCCATTCCTGGTTACGGGGCCACCCAGTACGGCACATCTCTATGTTTGGAGTGAGGACACACAGGACAGTCAGCTTCTGGGAAGGGGACACCTCACATCACTCACACGTGGGCATCCCTCTCATTCCTTACTACTTGAAGCTACTTCTGAATCCAACCATGGATTTATTTCTCTCTGTTTCTGGTTGGCAAGATTTTAAATATTTTGAAATCTTGGGCAGAGAGTGTTTCCCGTTTAAGCTGACCCCATTATGCAGATGAGACTAGTCAGAAATGGCAGCCAAGGCCAAACCAGTGCCAAGAGGGAAGTCTGGGCAATGGGAAAGAGGCTGCACAAAAGAATGTGTCCCTCTTTTAGTCGTTAACTTCTCATTCTCTTGGCTCCCTTTTGAGTCTTTGTTCTTAACACATGCTTGTCTCAATAAATTTAATGGAATTCTGAATTTAATAGAATTCCTTTAAGGTACATCCTAACTATCTGATTTCTTCAAATCCCAGCTGGAGTTAAAACCAAGGCTTTTTAAAGAGTAGGCATGAGTGAAACAAGATTTTTCTGTAATTTTTTTTTTTTTGACCTGCAAAATCTTTTCCTAAAAATAGGGAGAGGGGAACTAGGAATATCACTGTGGAAACAGGTATATGTCTAGATTAAACATTACCAATTTTTACATATATGAGTCTTAGAATCGCTAATGTCCTGGCCATAACAACGTTATTAAAAAAACCAAAACTGGTGGCAATTCTCCAGCTCTTCATACTCATACATTAAAGGCCAAGACTAGTATTTATAGAACCCTTTTTAATAGTCAAAATGGATCTTTGAATAGCAAGCTCATGGATATAGGAACATTTTTTGGCTAAAACAGAATCAAACTAATCCTACATTTTTCATAATAAAGTTCTGTATTAAAAAAAAAAGTTCTTCCCACATCTGAATAGTTCAGTGAGGAGCAGAAACCTGCCTTGGCAACCTGGGGTTGGCATGAGCTGTGGAGCACCTGATAACCACGCTCCATCAGATGGCCTGTGCTCAGATGATGAAAGACATGCTTATCAACACCATCTCAAATCACACAGGCTAACAGGTTCCTGCAACTCTTTTGAAGGTGGCTGGGGCAAGAGTGATTCCCTGTGGAATCACATGGCCTGACTAGCAAGGGCTGCGTTATTAACGTAGAGCAAACTAGCAGGATCCAGCCACAAGTGACATACTTATTTTTCCTATCGATATTAAAACAGCCTTCAGATTGTTCCCTGCAATTCAGAAGGCAGAGTTGAGTGATATAAAGTTATAAGGGAAGGTGGTTTTCCTTTCAGACAAAAGCCTGGTCTAGCAAGATCCTCTTGCTCTAACATCTCCTCTAAGCTGCCATAACAGATCTTGGGCAGTGGCCTCAGCCTGACCTACAAATTCAAGCTCAACTTCTAGTCTTGTTCTAGATGAGGGTTAGGAGACTGGTGTCCAATCTGGAACAGTAATCGCATATGTCACGTGTATATGCCTCCATGTCCCTGTAATGCCAATGTGCATATAGGTGTGCACATATCATTCAAGTGTCCCTAGGAGGAAGCAGGATGGTGATCACAAAAGGATGGTGATCGGCTCTGAGACTGCATGGTCTGGGCAGTGGTTATAATCTACCCCACAATCAGCACCATTCTGCTTCTCAAGCCCCAGGCCTACCCTGGTACAAGGTTTCTTTTCTGATTGGCTTACCTGGTGGCCCGCAGTGAGGTGGAGTGGAGCCGGGTGGAGTCCGGGTACCAGGGACTTCATGACCATTAGAGTCCACGCACCAGCAGAAGCCAGTGCTGCCATGACACTGCAGTGGCAGGAAGTGGCCCTGCTCATCGCACTGGGGGATGTGGATCCGGGTGCCGGGATATGCATGCTGAGCCTGGGCACTGTGCTGCTGGTGTTCACAAAGTTTCAGTCCTGAGGAGGAGTCTTCCGAGGCCGGGACAGAGGAGGTACAAAGGAGGAATAAAAGGCATTGTAACCCATCCACTTTTACCAGCCATCCTCAAAGTCTCCTGCCTGAGGATTTTTCTTCTATAATTAGAAGATAGCATAACATGGGAAAAATAGAAAAGCACTGGGATTGTGGAATTCTGGATTCTTATTTTAGCTCTGCCACTATCTCCTGATATCTCCTCAGTTCTCGCAGTCCACCCTGTAAGTCCCTAGCTGACTATACTGTAAAACAGCCCCTCCCCTCAGCCCTCAGGCTCCTATTGCTGTCCAAACATCCTAAGAGACTTTGGAGAAAACAAAGCTCTGTTCATACCCTGAGGTCCAGAGTTTAAGTCTGAGAAGCTCCAGGACAATGGCTGTCACTAGACTGTACCGTGCTGGCCAGGTTTTCTTAGAGAGGTCACATGGGACCTTACTCCCAGCTCACTAGTGCATATGACTCCTGATTAGTAAACTTAATCTCAATACTTCATCTAAATCACACTTATCAAGGCAAAGCAGATACTAGGGCAGTTAACCAGAACTGCTACTAGGTAAGGCAATGGTTGGGTCATATTCCAGGCCTCCTGGAATGCTAACAGACAGTGAACTGTCAGTAAACCAGGCAGCTGGAGGTAACTGAGGAAAAAATCCAGGGCCTGGAAGATCCACCAACTAAGGCCTCAGACTTGGATAAATCTAGAGTGGGCTGAAGTGCTGTTGAAAAATAGCACTGAAGGAGCTGGGAGTTCTCTGTGCCTAATCTGGCCTCCCAAACCTTACCAGGGGTGCACTGAAGTCCGTCCCCATGATAGCCAGGTTGGCAGCGGCAAGAGAAAGAGCCAGGGGTATTGTAGCAGGTAGCTGAGGGGTGACATCTGTTTTCTGCACATTCATCAACATCTGCAGAGGTCAGATGAGAGAGAGAAGGGAGGGAAAAAAGGAAAGGACGTCATGACTTCACTGCACTTAACCTGTCCTCCCACATGGCCTCAGCACACGTGGATCAGTGATGAGCAAGCAACTTCAGAAGAGCTTTGGGCATGAGCAGAAACATGCTGACACCTGAAGGCAAGCTTAACAGAATAAGTCTAGGGACATATGAGTTAACCCATTAGACTAAGAATATTCAGTGGAGAAATCAAATGTGAGGTCACTCAGAAAAATATATCCTGCTGTATATTTCTAGAGCATCTTTCATCTACAGTGAATTCCAGGAAGTTATTGCCTTTGAACTAATCTTTCGACTATAAATCACTTCCTTTGAGTAATGCTACAATAAATATATGTAACAATAGTTTTTTCCCTTCTTTGTTGGCAGCATCTCCCTGCGCACTGATTTACAGATGCAGGGGAGCCCAGTGAGGCCCCCAGATACTTTTTCAGCTAAGTTAGAAGCACACATTCAGTCTTGCCTCAACAGAGTCCTACTGTCTAGAATGCCCAATTAATCAAAAATTTTCTTTACTTTCCACTTTTAAAATAAAAAAAGTGTAAGAAAAATATTAGCGGAGGTTTTGAAATAACACATTAAAAAATCTAAATTTATCAGGCTTATAAGTACAAATAATTCTGGACCCCACACTCCAGTACCATGAGGATTAATTTTCATATATCTCAAAACTGTAAGATCCTGAAACTTCAAACAAAAGGCAACTTATATTCCTTTTATTTTATGTTCTGACATCAGCACATTGCTGATAATAGCAAGGCACCCCCTTCCACCCACACACCAAAGAAAACAACAAAAAAAGAAAACCACCTCTGAGAGTCTAACTGTTAAAACCCAGGCCCAGTGGTTGAGATAAGCTATCTTCAGAGACAGGAAGTCTTCTACAGTAAGAGGAGGATAAGGGTGTAGGTCTGATCAAGACTCCACTGAAAATAAAATAGTCACATCTGTAATAACATCCAAAAATTATTTTCAAAATGTGTGAATAGGAAAAAACGTGGGATGAGATGATCAGTGTGAAACCTAGAAAACAGGAGTCCCAGAAGACGTGAAATGCAACAGTTCAGTACAGCCCTGGTGGGGACACATTGGACCTGGGAAGCCAGACTTACAGCCCTGAATTTGATATGAATCGGCTGAGACAGAGGTGGCTCCTTACCCAGCCTCCTGTGACCGAGATGGAATCTCTTCTAGGGTTATCAGTGTCACCCTGGCTGTCACATCACTCTCACTGAGCCACTCTCTCATGACTAAGGGGCTTTCCCAAGTACCAGTTAAGTGGACACACTGGACATTCAACACAGACCTGTTCACAGGAAAGGAATCTCTTACATTGTAATTAGCAAATTAACATCTCGCTGATCCTCAGGCTTAGGGGAGGTTAGTCAACATAAATCAGTTCCCTTAAGCCCCCAAAATCCTGAATGCTAGACACAACCAAGTTTAAAGCCACCCAGAAAAGCTCTGCCCAGAAGAGCAGTTGGCCTCCATGGTCACCTTCCTTTCACCTACAAAAATAGAAATGTAGTTACAAATTCATCTGCAAGGTTAGACGCAAACAAGGTTTTCTGATTAGCTCTCCTCAGTTAACCCAAAATAAACCAAATGAAAACAATTACAACAAAAACTTTATTTCCAATCTAATGAATATGAGTTCTATATTGTTGTATTTGATTATCCTTGACGTTGGCACTGTCTTTTCTAAAGCACAATTCAGATGCACAGTTAGGCAAAGCTGGTGACCACCTAGTTCCTTGGGCCTGGAAGAGGCTGTAAAGCTGGCTATTTAACCAAAGCTGTGAAAATCAACATCTAGCCAAATGCAGGAAATCAAAGCTATTCATAATACATATGCTAAAAGTACTTGTCATGGTCACCGGAACCCAGGCAATGACAGGAAGCAGGAATTCCTGAGACACAGGGCCTATTTCTAGAACCCACGCATGGATCAGTTTCTTGTGATTATTTTTCAACTAAGTGAGAGGGGCTGCCCCAGAGCCACCAAGTTACTTATGTTCTTCAAGTCTCTGGCCTAGAATTCTGATCAGACCTGAAAGAGCAGCCATCCTCCCCAGGCACTAAAGTCATGGGGAGATGGTAACTGCTGTAAATGACCACCACAGAGAAATTCCCTGGAGAACAAAAGCATCACCAGTGAGATACCCCTCCCCAAAAAGCCGAAGAAGGTTCAGGCTCCCTGAAACGTGGTCCCTGACACCCTAGAAGACCTCTCGCCGTAACATAAACCGAGCCCAGTCAGCCCCTGCAGGGCCTGCGCTCAAAGCAGGCCACAGGCCGCTACAGGAGCGCAAACATGGAGCGGTTAGGGGGAGCTGGAGCTTCTGTGTGGAGAAGAGGAGCTCTTCTCTATATCTCAGGATGTCAGGTGTTGGGAGAGAAAGAGTGGAAAGACTTTCACCCCTTGCAAGGGGAAGAGCTTTCCTCCTATCATTCGGGGAGGGGGCTGCATTTATGCCTAACGATCACTGTCAGGGGTCTTTAGGGACCGTTAGGACCCTGAGGTCTAGACAACAGTGTTCGAGAGATAGCGAAGCTCCTTTACCATTCAGATAATGAAGGATAATTCTCCATTCTATCATCTACCAAGCTGGTAAAAACCCTGTTTGGAAAATGTGTTAAAAATCCTCCATTTTGAGTTCATATTTTGGTGCTTCAACATCCTTATGGCCCTAATTCTGAGCCTACACCCAAAACCAGCTGAAATTCCTTCAAAACAACCACTGGACTCTAGCTTCTCCTTCCCCCTAACACCCCTCCTCCCCTCCCTGGTTTGCTTTCAAACCACACAGTGAAGTTTCCTGGTGCCAATTAACCTCTGTCCCTCTCAAGACCCCAGCAAAGGCTTTGGCCCATAAGTTCTCACTCCCCACCCATTCAGTCAAGCAGCCTTTTGCTGGTTGTGGCCCTATGTGGCTCTGCATAACACACCTTTGCTCTGGGACTTATGAATATAATAAACTTCCTCTTAAGCCTTGTTCTCTTCTCCTCCTGTGGCTGTACCAGATTTACCATGCCTTACCCAACATCACATTCTTGGAACAGAAAACCTGAGAGAATAATGCCAGTAGCTTCCCTCGTATCGCTTCTGAGCAGCGATGGCTCTGGGTAATGGGCCATCTGGAATCCAGTTCAACTCATGCTTGCTCCTCCCTGGAAAGGTCCCAACTCTAGACAATCCAGTTTTACACCCGGTAAAGCTGCCAAAGATCCATAAAGACAAACATGCCTGATAAATATCCAGTTTATACCAACACAGGGCTGAAATCAATTCAAATTGAGAGAAGCTAGGAATGATTTAACTCTACTTGGATAAAGTAATTCCTGCTAGTGATTCAGTCTAGATTGAGAACTTGAAATCAAATGTAGCTTCTCCAGGGAACCTGGTTTTTAACAGACTGGCTGGAGAAAAACCCACACACCCTTTTATTGCTAATTTGATGGAATTAAAAAAAAAAAAAGTTGGCTTCAAGAATGAACACTTTTCACAAAACAGAGCCTTTCTCTCTATTTTTCTCTAGTTTTTTTTAATCTCTATGGTCACTGGGACACATGCATGCTGTAGCATGCCTTTAAATATGCACATGTGTGCACACACATACATTCTTATCCTTCAAGTCACCTTCATGATTAGCCCAACCTGGCTTACACATGGCATAGGTCATTAGGAAAATGACCATTCTCTACCACAACATAATCTGAAAGGTTGGAAGGCAACCACATGGTAACTAACTATGGGAGGCAGGCTCTAAGATGTCACCAAAGATCCCTCCCCCCTGGTATTCACAGTCTTGTGTCATCTCCTTTCCTTGAGTAACTTGCTTCTAACCAACACATGAAAGCAAAATTGAGAGGATGTCATTTTTGCAATTATAACTTCCATCTTGCTAGCAGCCTTGCTGCCACTGGCTTTGATGAATAAATTATCTTGTTGGTCACCTCCAAGCAACAGCTAGCAAAAACCCAAGGCTCTGAATCCAACAGTCCTCAAGGAACTGAATCCTGCCAATAACCATGTGAGGCTCTTTCCCCAGTTAGTACTTCAGATGAGACCCAAGCCTGCCAGACCCCTTGACTGCAGCCTTATGAGGGTCCTAAAGCAGAAGACCCACCTGAGCCATTCCCAGGCCCTTGCCCTATAGGTAACAAATGTGTACTGTTCTAAGCTGCCACATTTTGGGGTGGTCTATTATGCAGCAATAGAAAACTAATAGACAGGGAAGCAAATGATGGCTTTGCCATATTTTTAAGTTTGTGGGTTCCAGAGCGAATTCTAAAAGCAGAGAACCAGAGAGGTAACTAAAGTCTTAAAAAGACAAG